TGCGAAAGAGAAAAAAGCAACTCTGAAATAAATGATGCGTGAATTCGACTTGTTTGTTTTTACTGTACTATGAATTGCTTATCAAAAGCTGTGCAGTGAAAAGAAAAGCAAAAAAAAAATCCATATCGAACAAGTACGAGTAAGACGTGTTTCTTTCGTCGTATTTATCGTTGTATCGACTATATATCTTTACATTCTTTATTCAATCACGTTTATCCCTTGTGTTATTTACACGTGATTTACTTATCCATTACATTCTATTTAATTGACGAACTAATAAATTAATTAAGTGTTCTTCGGCTTGGCCGACATGCTGAATAGCATGTACAATACTACTTATCCCCCAACGTACGATCACCCAGTGATCCAAAATTCTCCTGTTAACAATACTTTGGTTCATAATCAATTCTCATCTAATCCAGCTTCTTCTTCTTCTTCAAATGTTCAACATCTTCAATCACAACAAATGTTACTACAACAACCTTCTTCATCCTCGATTAACCCTGTACTACAGAACAAAATCTGTTCTCCAAACTTCAACAGCAACACCATTAACCAACAGCCCATGTATCACTATCCATGCTTTACCACCAACCAGCACCAACACACAAATTCATCAAATGTTATTCCACATAATCAACATTTCGCGACATCTAGTCAATCCCATCCTTCTACCAATAATATGACACATCATCAATATATCCAAAATGAAGTGATACCAATGGAAAGTGATAATGATGACAAATTTATCATAGTCAATAAAAAAAAAGAAAAAAAAAGTAAGAATTGATCCAGCACCGGCTGTTACACCCGATACTGGTACATCATCTTCTTCCACTTCAACGTCATCAATTAGCACGAACAATTCTACATCTTCAACAAATTCAGATAGTATAGTGTTAAATGTTCATCCAACAAATAAAGCCATTCCAAATATTAGTCGTACACAAACACATACCAATGAAAATATATCATCTAACTCGACTTACAATTCAATCGAAATATCTGAACAAGCACGTCGTTTTGCTGAAACACGTTTTCCATTTCCACCTTTTGTAATTAAGTTTAACCAGATTGTAGATGAAAAAACGATTATCAAATTCATGGTGAATGATTTTTTGTCCGATTATAAAATCGATTTGAATTTTGCAGGGCACCGTTTGAAAAACAAAAATGAATTATTATTATTTAGTGCTAATCGTGAAACATTTATTATATTATTCGACGAACAAAAGTGGCCTACAACTATTGAATCTATGAATTATGAAAAAATTATTCCTAAACATTTACCACCTCAATTTTCTATTGTGTTGCGTAACGTTCCTGTCGACATTGAAATTAATTCATTATTAACAAATATTAAAATTGATTATCCGGACGTACTTAATGCTTTTCGAATAACTGGTATAAATAAAAAGCCTTCAACTTTAGTGCGCTTAGATATCCAAAATATATCAGTTATCGATAAATTACTCGGTAAGAAATTCATCTATTATGAAAATCTTCGTTTAGGAACAACCGAATACCTGGCTCCTGCTAAAGTTCTTGTATGTACAAAGTGCTTCGAAATTGGTCATTTCAGAAGCACTTGTAGAAGTGATCTTGATCACTGTCGAAAATGTGGCGTTGGTGTATCCGATATCAAACAACATTTAGAAAAGTGCACCAATAAATTATGTTGTGTTAGATGTCAAGGACTGCATGATGCTAATGATGTTAGATGTCCAAGCATTAAATCTTACCGTTCAATATTAACTAAATCTCTACTGTCAACAGCTGCTGCACCTGTTCACCAACAAAATGTTCGTGCTGATTTTCATCTTAATGATCCAGATTTTCTGTACCGAATGGAAGCTTAAACAATATTCCTTACCGTACTAATAATGCATTTATTAATACAGGTAAAAGAATTGACGAGATGTTTTTTAAAATGAAACATTTAGAGGATAATATGAATCGTCTAATTGATTTAAATAATAAACAACTGAATCAAATTACATGCATCCAACAGGTGTCTATGAAGCACGAGCATCAATTACAAATACAACAAACAGATATCTCATTTCAACATGTTTTTATAAGTCAATTTATATCGCCAATATGTCAAATATTAGTAGACGTAATACCAGTGTTAGTGAAACAAAATACTATTAATGATAAAACATTATTATGTCCTTCCTTGACAGCTTTATGTGAAAAGCTCTCAACTGACCTACCAGTATGGACGAATCGATTTGTTCAAAATGAAAATATTAAAGCTAAACTTATAAATGAATTTCAAATTAAAAATCAACTTAACCCTGTTTCCTCCAGCAATAACAACGTTCAAGATCATCCACTCAACCAATAACTTATACAACAACTCATTATAAACTCTCGCCTCTTGCCCCTGTCTTCACTCCCGATGTTAAGGTAAAAAAGAATAGTTTTGATATTGAATATGCGCTTTCTCTTGTCGCCCCCATGTTATATAAATTCGAATTCAGTCTATTATCTGAAATTGTGAACGAATGGTTCTTCTTCCCTACTCTGTCTTCATGTCTTTCTCATTGGAAATCTTTCGAGCAGTTGTGTTCTTATTCTCTCTCTTCTGAACTACATATACTTCTTTTCAACGTACGGGGTCTTGATGAAAGGTGGGAGGAAGTACTTTTACTTCTCGACAAATATAAAATAGATGGTTTAATTCTAACTGAAGTAGGATCGTTTGAGTTTTCCTTAAACAATCAGATTTTCGTAGATTTCAAATATTTTTATCAGAAAGGTGAAAATTCGTGGGGAGGAGTATTAATGTTATTTAAACCTAGTCTACCAGTTGTGAGAGTTAAATGTGAAACTCCGAACATATGTATTGTGGATGTCAAACAAGAACGAGTAGTGCGTCTTAATGGTGTTTATGCGCCTAAAAGCAAAACATGGAGTTGGAATAGTCTATCTAATTTTATAACTGACAGATGTAGTTTGTTTGGCGATTTTAATATTGATCTAGATGACAAAGCCGATGAAATAGCAGCAAAGGATCTACTCAACTGGGCTGATTTAGTCGCTTTAGCTCCAGTTTTACCGGATAGTCCTACTTCTCTTAGATCGACTCGTATAATCGATTATGCGTTCACTCGTGATACTCCACTTACGATACAAACGTGCGCAGAAAACACAACCAGTGATCATAAACCAATTATATGTGTATTAAATTGTGAAAGTAAAGGAAGCACCTTAGGAAGTAACACTCACTGGAAAGTTTTTAATTATTTTATGTCATTAACGGTGGAATTCTGGGAGAATGAAAGTAAATTAGCCTCAACAGATGAGTACTATAAAAATTTTATTAACCTTCTTGATTGTTTGAAAACTAGATGCACCACTTATTTTCCATTCAAGAAATATCGCGCTTCCATCCCTAAAGAAATGAGAATGAAATTATCGCTCACTCGAGCTTTATCATTCCAACATAAAAGAACTGGTGATGTTCTATTGCATAAGAAAATCAAAGAAATGCGAAGAAATAATAGATTGGAATTAATTTCGATACGATCTCGGAAATTAATGAACTCTCTAAATGAAAGATTTTCTTCAACCGCCGCTCCCAATTCGTTCTGGTCAAAAATAAGGAAAAACTTTAAAACAACTAACTCGCTTGAAGCTCTAATTGATAATAATAATGTCATTGTCAAAGATGTCGATGCTATGCTGGACATAGCAGCTACTCATTATGAAAATTTATTCGCCGAACCACAGGTTTATAGACCTCATCCGTATGTAGATAGTCCTGAAGTACATTGGAATAACCGTTATGAACCAATTCCGCCGATAACAATGCCAGAATTATTAAAAGTAGTGAGCAAAGTAAAGAAAAAACATTCAATTGACGCACATGGAATTTCGCCATATATGCTCAGCTTTATCCCCAATAATTACATGGTCCCTCTCCTACAGATTTTCAATGATTCTCTTACAACGTTCTCAGGTCCTTCTTACTGGAAACACGTTAAAATGAAATTATTAGCAAAAAAAGAGTCAATATGTTCAATAACCGATACACGACCGATCTCCTTATTAGACATCTTTTTAAAAGTCCTAGAAAGATTATTTCTTAGTCGATTTAAGCGTGTACTTGAAAATAGAGGATTATTACATGATTCTCAATCGGGATTTAGATCGAATTTTAGATTACAATCTCGTGTACTGGTTCTGATCGATCAAATCTCGTCACTTATGAGCGCAAGTGCTCCTGTCGCCACAGTTTTTATTGATTTTAAACAAGCTTTTGATCAGTTGTGGTGGACAGGTTGCCTAGGTAAATTATCTCGGCTAGGCATCCCGGAGGCATACGTGTCATGGATCGAAAGTTGGTTAAAACATAGGTCAGGTTTTATAGAAATGAACGATAAACGTTCGAGATTGTTCTCAATCCTGAAAGGTGGTCCTCAAGGATCTTGTCTAACACCAGCTATATTTATTACGTATCACAGTGATATGTGGTCTTACCTCCAAAGTTCTCTCCCAAATTTCTTTGCCGATGATCTTGCTTGTGTCATAGGAGGTATGATCGGAGTAAAATATTCTAGACAATGTCTAGACTTAGAAGAAAAACTAAAAAAGTTATTCGACTACCTCGAGTACTATTCTACCTTAGTTGTGCAACCTATTAATTACAAGAAAACAGAATTACTATGGACAGCCAGAGCTATAGGTAAACCTCAATTCAACGTAGCTATGGGTGAACATAAAATAGCATGGGTAAACAGTTTTAGATATCTAGGTTCTCATTTATCGTCGAAACTAAGCTGGGGTAAAATGATCTCTACTTTTAAATGTAAGATCAGACAACATATTGCCATAGTTAGATCATGCAGATTGTATGGCACGTCTTCCCTAAAACTAAGACGAGTCTTGTTCTCTACGTATGTTATGCCATTATTTACATGGCTGTATAGCATCTATCCGTTATTTTCAGATTGTCAAAGAGATGATTTAGGACATTTTTATTTTACCTGCTTGAAACGAACTTTAGGTATTCACTTTTGGAATGATTTAGTTTTCACTGCTATCTACAATGAGCTATCATTAGAAAATTTATGTTGGAACTATTGGTTTAGATATAAAAATGTTTTAACAGATTCTACAGATGGATTTATTCTTTTTGAGCAAGCCTCACATAATTTGTATCGAAAGTTATGGTTAGACAAAGATATAGTGATCAAACACTTACGTAGATCTAAACGTTTTGTACAGTATGACACTAGTATCGAGAAATGCCTAACATGGGTCGAATCGTGTGGCTCGAATTCTAGTCCTCTGATTGACGAACGTGATATAGAAATCCTGGCGACATTTCCGGAGTCGTTTATGTAGTCTTTGAGTCAGATACATCTCTTCATCTTCCTTTCTCTTCTCTCTTCTTCTCCTTTGCATCTGATAGGTGGTGTGGGTATTCTTCTTTTTTTTTCTTATTTTTTATATACTTGTAATGTAAAAATGTAATATGTTTCGGCGTGTGTTACCTTTCACTTTTCCTTTTTTTTATTTTGTCACTTGTTCACATTTCTTTCTCTTCTCCTCTCTCAGTCGTCGGTTCTAGGACTTTTCGTTGCAGGACAAATTGTTGCGGACAAATCGTTGCAGACAAATCGTTGCAAGGACATTTCGTTGCAGGACAAATCGTTGTAGGAAAATTAGCCGCGGACATATTGTTGCGGACAAATCGTTGCGGAAAAAACGTTGCGGACAAATAGTTGCACGGACAAAACGTTGCAAGGACAAAACGTTGCAGGACAAAACGTTGTAGGGACAAAACGTTGCAGGACAAAACGTTGTAGGGACAAATAGTCGCATGGACAAAACCTTGCAATTGTCAAATTTTATATTCTACAATAATAGATAAGAAATTCAGTTTTCATTTTCCAATATGTCAACTATTCCATTCTTTTGAAATATTTATTATTCTAGAAGTATAACAACGAATCAACCAATCATTGTCTACAAAAATTTAGTAAATAATTTTTTTTTTTTATTATGCAATAACTGTGATCCTAAGATCCTAACAGTACCAGAAATGAGAAGAGAGAGAGAAAAAAAAAGTGAAATAAAACGTACACAGAACATATAAAAAGAAGGAAGGGTTCTACATATAAAAATGCAGAGGAAAGAAACCTAGTAAATAATTTTTAAACTATCACATTGGCACTGACATTTTTCAAATATTGTATACAGCAAATTATAGACTATTGCCACGTTTTGTCCATACGACTATTTGTCCCTACAACGTTTTGTCCGTGCAACTATTTGTCCCTCGACGTTTTGTCCATGCGACGACTTTTTTACAACGATTTGTCCGCAACGAATTGTCCACAACGATATGTCCGCGACTAATTTTCCTACAACGAATTGTCCTGCAACGAAATGTCCTTGCAACGATTTGTCTGCAACGATTTGTCCGCAACGATTTGTCTTGCAACAAAAAGTCCGGTCACCGTATTACTACAGCTGCATACGGTTCATCTCGTAAATCACGATAAACGATGTTGCACAACTTCTATGGCTTGTTTTTCCTCCTTTCCTTCAATAAAGGTACGATTTATTTACAAGAAGTCAGAAAAACTGATGTTCTCTTATTAATAAACATTATTTAAAATCGTTGGAAGACCTCTGTATTCTTATAAGGCTACTAATACAGATAGAAAGATAATATGAACTAAAAAATTCAATTTTCATGCCAGATTTCATATTCTAAAATTTCACAAACTTTAAAGAAAATTGTGTATTCATGCGTGTGCCTCAGAAGAAGAAAGTTTAA